TGTTGTCATCATTCAGGTCGTTGAAGAACATGGTGGCATCTTTATGTTGCGTATGGTTTCATGTAGTTTTGATTGAAATTGCACTTCCAGATTGTGTTTTTTGCCATAAGTTCTAAATAAGTTTGTTGCTATTTTTGACCAATTTGTGAAAGTCTTAGTAGTGCCTTCAGGAATGCCGTTGTAGAATTGAATAGATTCCTTCAGGAGGGGGTTTGGACTTGTGAATTTTGCAATGGTACCAGAATTTTGCCACTTGAAGAACTATCATAATATTATGTAATAAGGGGAACATTCCTAACTCAGCTTTGGCGGCTATGTTGGAGGTTTTAGTTCTGACTCCCAGTACCCATTTGCAAAATTTGTTCAGAATCGTTTCAAATGGGAAGCGGTTCCATAGACTGAACAGGTTTTGTATATTTGATTGGGCATGAGTATCTGATTCCGATTTGATAATTTTGGAGATGAATCTGGACCCCAAATACACGTCATAAACTCGTAGAATATGGTACTCACCTCACCTCTGAACACTTGACATTTTCAGATTTTTTTATTAAAAAAAAAATTCCTACCTACCCTACCTAATTTTTTCAAGACCGTTCTCGGAAACACATTTATTTTTTTAGGCCTAATGTACGTTTTGACCGGAGTTTCGTAGTTAAAGATAGAGCGTCTTAGACTGTGCATTGCTTTTAGTGCCTTTTTTCTAAGTTCCTCTACCCCAAATTTTGAGTTACCATTGTGGTATAGGTGGAACCCTAGGTATTTGTAGTGCGGTCTAGAGTTTAGAGTGGTGGAGCCGTATTTGAATTTATATTTGTGAACGTTTAAGTGGCTGTTGCTAAAGGTGACAGTCTCACTTTTGCTATGGTTAAGTTTTAGTTTCCAGGTGTCGCAATACTGTTTTAAGTCGTTAAGAGAATTCTGGAGGCCCGTTTCAGTCTCGCTGAATAGTACGAGGTCATCAGCATACATGAGACATTTGATTGGTTCTGACATAATTTTAGGATATACCCCATTTTTAAGGGAGTTCGGGATGTCATTTACGAACATATTAAATAGTATTGGGCTTAATATATCACCTTGACGGACTCCAGTTTGACAAGGGAAGGATTCGGTTAATCTTCCATTGCATTTTATGCTTGCCTCCGTCTTCGAATACATGTTAGTTATCACATTTAGAATATTGCCCTCTATGCCATATGTTTTTAGTTTAAGAAAGAGGCCTTTATGCCATACCTTATCAAAGGCGTTTTTTAGGTCGACAAAGCACGAGAATAGGGTAGACCTGTTCACTTTAACATATATTTATCTACCAGTGTTTTTATTATCAGGAGGTTGTCGGAGGTTCTGCGACCTTTGATAAAACCACTTTGAAACTTTGAGATTATGTTGTTTGATAGTAGATAATTAGTAATACGTTTATTGAGTAGAGAGTTGAACAGTTTTCCGAGACAACTTGTAATGGAGATTGCTCGGTAATTATCAGGAAGGTTCGGGTCACCAGATTTAAAGATGGGTGTTATTGTGCTTCTAGACCAGATTTTGGGGTAGATTCCCGATTCTAGTATTTGGTTGAATATTTTGCATACGGCTCTAGCCATCTGATCCATTGAGCATGCTATCATCTCGTTGGAAATGCTATCGAAGCCCACACTTTTGTTAGGTTTTAAAGTTGTGGAAATCTTTTTTATGGAAAATCATAAATAAACTAAGAGAAACCCCAAAAAATAATGTAGGCCCTGCCACAATATCACTACCTCAACTATTCAACTACTATAAAACGTTATACCTTGATGAATCAACAGAAAACAACCCATTGTCTACCAGAGAAACTGTAATTAACCTTAATGAAATCATAGAGCTAACAAAAGATAAAACCCATTCATCAATAGGAAGAGATAATCTAAACATCCCCTTCACTATCTCAGAAATAAAGAAGATTTTTCAATCAACCAACCCAAAAGATTAAAAACGTAAACTAAACCCTCATAATCCCCACCACAGAACATTATTCTCATATCTATGCAAATTATACAAAAAATCTGCTAAATACCAAAAAAACTCATATTTCAACAAAATGGCCTACGAACTCGAGTCGCCTTGCTGCTATATTTATGTCGTTTTTAAGTCTCTTGAGGTTTGTTGTCATCCACGGTCTCGGCGTGTTTGTCTTAGGCCTTGTTTTGTTCCGCTTAAGGCAGTATTCCGCTGCAGACATATATATATCTCTCAATTCATCGGAAGCTTCTTCTGTGTCTATTTCGTGGTTAAGGAGTATGTTATTAATTTTATTGGATATTTCAGGTTTGGTCAGCGCTAGCTTGAATCTCTCTGCTGCCAGATTATCCCATTTGAATGAACTGGGTCCTATTGAACAACTACTAAGGATATACTAACCTGTATGATACAGGCGGTATG